AGAGAGATATAAATAAACAAGAAAAAGAAAAGAAAAGGTAGATATTGTATTGCTGGCGTCACTACGGGAATGTAAATTTCGTTGTGCATCTTCATATTTTCTAACGTTATTATCAAATGCAAATTTAGTAATCATCGCGGAGTCGAGCAATTGCACAGTGCATATAAAGAGGGTTATTTCGTAAAAGTGTATGAATATTTTGCATTCACTACCGTCAAGAAGGTTTCAATAATATTACATATTATAAATTTATTTGAATCGATCTTTTTGTTTAGCAGCTGCTGGCAGACACTACTAAACCAATAATATAAGTAACATTTTGAAAGATCCTTGAAGATTTTTCGTATTCTTGTCTGTTTTTGTTGTTTCAAACTTACATTATGATTAAGTAAATTTGTTTCTAGAAGTGTAATTTAGTTCAATTTATCTAAAAGCAATTTAAACAACCATTTTAATATATAAAGATAAGTAAAGTAATAAAAAAGTCAGAAACACTTAGAGGGTGAATAATAGATCAATGGGCGTTTATGGAGTCAAATAACTTATTGGTTTGTAATTACATTTCACATTAAATGATACCAATTGATTGAAAAATAATACTCTCTTTGATGTGTACTTGATGAAATTATTTGAATGTAAAGAATTCAACGCCAAAGAATAGACTTGAAGGAAAGGGATTAGTCAACAGATAACACTAAAAAACGGGATAGAAATTCATTGGGAAATGTTAAAAATAAACCACCGAAGTCAACTCACTTACGCAAATTTACACCTAATGACTTGAAAAACTACAATCGGAACGTTGGTGTTCTCTTGCTTACATTTATTTAATTATGTACCTAAATTACAAACAGAGCATTGATTTGATAGATTTGGTATCATTTAATGTGAGATATGATTATTAATCAATGAGTTATTTAATAAGTTCATTTTAGTCGCGTGTCTTCTTAGATCTTATCAGCACGCCATAGTCACGATAAATTACTAGCCAAGCTTCTAAACAGCATGTTTATACTATAACCAGAATAGAGGCAGTATGTCGCCATCTGGTGGGTATGTGTGGCTACTGAAGTATTTCATTTGTTAGACAAGACCTTCTTAAGGTGTTTAAAATTGCCAAACTATTTGTATGTAAGCTGCGTAGTCGTTTTATTTAGATAAGATTAAATATATTAGTACGGTCTTACTTAAAAAATTAAATACTTTAGTAGCAGCAAATACTCACCAGGGGGAGTTATTTGACCTTGAAATTACCTGTGTTTTTTTTTGCTATTTCTCTCTAATCTAACCTAATATAGTTCTTTTCCATCTCACAGACATGGATTAATCAAGCGTACATTGCAAATACATGATTAATCTTGCCAATTTCTGCGATGAGATCCGACAGAATTGAAATCGCGATCCGCGTCATAACTTATTTGTTTGATTTTGATAACGCGCCTATTACGTATAGTGAGCTGCGTTATGGATTCAGTTCAGCAAGTTGTTATCCATATATCCATACATGTAAATGGACCTTTTTGAACATATTGACTTCTACTAAATGCAGCATTGCACTAAAGATGGCGTTTACGGAGCCGTTTGTAAGATTTCATAAAACACTGTGTCAAGGCAGCAGTAGAGTTGGTCTCTGTTCTGCCGAAGTTGTCTGCGACGAACTGATCAGGTCTAATAAGATTGAAGTCGCGATTCGCGTCTGGCAGATTCGACAAATTTTTGGGCACCATGAATTTTTTTTGAACAATGGCGCTATTTAAAAGAAAAATGAACAAACAGACACACGAGTAATCCTATAAAGGTTTGGAACCCCTACCCCAGAACCAACTTAACAATGTAGTTGAATAAAAAATCGGTTGTCTGTAAAGTCGGTTTACTGACGATAGTTGAACGTGACAACGTCATAAGAAAATACTGATGGAATGGTTTCAATTTTCAAAAGAAAATTTTAATTTTATTTGTTTGATAGGTATTTTGTATGGATATAGAGAAGGAGGTAAATGGAAATGTATTATTGTATAGCAGCTGTCCACGCGGACGCATCGCTCACTCAAGTAGAAGAGAGACAGATGTCGAACGCTGCCGAACGCGGAGGCCGATTCTGCCTCTTTGTCGCTCGTTCCGCGCTCTCGCTTGCACTTCAAGCCTTAAATGGAACGCCTCAGAGCGAGGTAATGCCGCATGAGTCATGTTTTTTCGTGCGTGCAGCCGGCTCCATCGAATTTATAAGACGTCACGTCAAAAAACATGTTCTCCCATACATTTAAACTTCACATGTAAATTTGTACGCACAATTGAAAGATTTACCGCGTTATGTTCAGACTATAAATTTCTTATTAATTTTGCTGTAATCTATAAGTACAGAACTATTTTCTGTTTTTTTCTCAAAATTTTAGGTTCAGTAGATTCGGAGATAAGGGGGGGAATTTATTTTAAACTTATAAGACAATATATTTGAGACCCTTACAACAAGCCCTTTTATTTGATATGTCACACGGTGCAGTTTGCAAAACTTTCTTTTTAATTTTCTATTGACCTCCCAAAAAAGACTACCATTGTTGAAAAATAATTTATTTACGTTATGCGCCCGTGTTTGGGTCACAGAAATTCATATGCGTGTTAAATTTCAACTTAATCGATCCAGTAGATTAGGAACATATTCACCGTGACAAACGGACAGATAGACATGCGAGTGTTCCGTTTTTCATTTGGACGTGCGGAACTCTAAAAAGTGATCGATGTTTTTCGGAAGTCATAATTAAGAATGCAAGTTCCAAAACTAGAAAACTTTCTCGGAGAACGAAACCCTACTGGGATCTCTACTTTTATTCAAAAAAGCTTAATGTAACTTTTTTGATTCACATGATTATAATTATTTTGTTATTGATATGGTTTTACGACAATTTCTACACTGAATTAATTACAATTTGAAATTTTGAAATACGTATATTAGCTTTAGGGGGTTCTAGAAGTTACTTTTAAATATAAAAAGGTATTGGTATAAGTAGGAAGTTAGTCGTACGTCTGTCGCGATTTCAAGAAGCATTTTCGGTAAATGTATGGTGCCTTGGCAATACCACAATGGTGGTGTCGAAATTTGGCATAATAAAATTACAATTTTATCCAAGACGATGCTCATTTATTGTACATTTCGTACATTTACATTGTGCTGTCTGTGCAAATATTAGATGTTTGTAGTACTAATTTGTTTATGTTTATCTTAGATGCTCGATAATCGACAATGTTTACATTCTTCATCCATGTAGCTGCAGGGTTTTTATCGCATTACGCTATTCGGTAGACACTTTTGTTGTTAATTCACGTACAGGACTGGTTTCGGATAGTAAATTATTGTGATTTTCTTAAACATTCTTTTTTGCCCTTAACGATTGTTAATTGCGTCTTATTTACATCCTCTAAAGCTTATCTCTATTACATCATCTATAGTAGGCATCGGGTTGTTCGGAAAGTCATTTCGTTTTTTCCCGACAGAGGATTTAATTGTATTCTTTTGCACCCAACTTCACATTTAAGCCGTATAATTTTTATATGCTTTGAGAGCTCATATAGCAAGGCTTGTGTGTGAAAAATTCCAATTAATTCTACGCAGTAGTTTTTGGTTGGTGCCCTTTTAAATATGGAGAGCGATAAGCAGCATTTTCGACATATCTTACTGTTTTACTACAGAAAGGATAAAAATGCTGTTCAAGCCAGAAAGAAATTGACTGATGTGTATGGAGAAGGTGTGTTAACAGTACGCCAGTGCCAGAACTGGTTCGCTAAATTTCGATCCGGCAATTTTGATGTCGAAGATGCACCACGTTTGGGAAGGCCGGTTGAAGCTGATAAAGACGCGATAAAGGCATTAGTTGATGTGAACCGGCGAATAACAACACGTGAGATCGGATTGAGGTTAAAATTATCAAATTCAACAGTTTATGACCACTTGAAAGGCCTGGGATTATCCTCGAAGCTCGATGTATGGGTTCCCTATGTTCTCACAGAGAGAAATCTGTGTCGCCGCATTGACGTCTGCCATTCGCTTCTCAAACGTCATGAAAATGATTCGTTTTTGAAGCGCATCATCACTGAGGACGAAAAATGGGTTGTATACAACAACGTCAAACGCAAGAGGTCATGGAGCAAAAAAGATGAACCGGCTCAAACCATTTCGAAAGCCGATATTCACCAAAAAAAGGTGATGCTGTCTGTTTGGTGGGATTTTAAAGGAATCGTTTTTTTTGAGCTTTTACCGGATAACACAACGATTAATTCGGAAGTCTACTGTCATCAGTTGGACAAACTGAATGATGCACTTTAACAGAAAAGGTCAGAACTAATCAACAGGAAAGGTGTACTAAGACAACGCGAGACCTCACACAAGTTTGATCACTCGCCAAAAGTTTTTACAGCTTGAATGGGATACAATGCTACACCCACCATATTCTCCAGACCTGGCACCATCGGATTATTATTTGTTCCGGTCACTCGAAAATTTTTTAGACGGTAAAACCTTCATCTCAAATGAGGAGGTCAAAAACCTCCTCGATCAATTTTTTGCCAGCAAAGACCAAAAATTTTATGAGCGTGGAATTATGCTACTACCAGAAAGATGGCAAAAGGTGTTGGACCAGAATGGTCAATATATAATTTAATAAAGTATTTGTATATTCCACAAAAAAAACGAAATGACTTTCCGAACAACCCTATATAAATACCCGTAACTCCTGAAGCTTCTATCGCAGTTAAGAATATTATCTTGATTTAATTTCAAATTAATGCGGCGTTCCCAACCATAACCTAACCTATTAGTTTTTTTAGTCGAAAACAGTTGTGTGCTTTAGATGGTCTTCGCAATTTTTGCATTGGGGTGATATTAGAAAATAAATAACGAAATTTACAACTCAATTTGGACTTACATATCGGTCTGTGGTCGATTTCGGCTATTTCGTTAGGTACAATTTATGTATGTATCTAGTAAAAAACTATAAATGGCAATTTACCTGTGAAAGTCCAAGATCGGGTAGCCACTCGCTCGATACCCACGTGTGTCCTAATTGGGCAATGCAAGGGTAACGAACTAGCGCAGGATGTCTGTGCTCTTCGATCGCCAATCGGAGTTTTTTGCGATGCATCGGATGGGCTATTCCCAGGCCGCATTCAAGCTCCAAATCGCTCAGTTCTAGAAGGACCTGGCCATGCAAATCACGCATCTATAAGGTTCATTAACTAATAATAAACTTGAGATCTTTCTGAAACCACTTCAACAGCCAGAATGATCAGACCTACACATTTATGTACTTACTGCCAACTAATACGTACTATTACGATTATAAATTGTCTATTAAACATTTGTATTCGCATATCCATAAACGTTTTATTGAAGGTTTTGCTTCACATTCATTTAATTTATTTTATTTATTCTCAGATCGACGTTAGATATAGATGAATAATGAAAACACTGTCCCATTTTCAATATATTGTATGGAGTCGATAATAATCAAATTCCCTAGGTTGGACGCCAAACAGTGAGATTACGGCGGGTTGGCTAACTTAGGGGCCTTAATGGTACTCTCACACTGGTTTATTAAGTTTCTCTTTCTCCACACGGTAACGGGAAGGGGATAATCTCTACTGTTCGAACACAGCATCAAGTTAGGCTAGTCACAATAGGGATGACGATTTTCCCGTTATGAATTGAAGAAAGGCTAGAAGTATCCTTGGACCTCCTGCATGGCACGTTGCTCTCATAGAGATTAGCATACAGATTCTATTCATACACCCAATGTTGAATTACAAAATACATGAGATATAGTATAAGGAAGTGTGTTTCATTCGAGTTCAATAACAAATCAACAAATAATTAAAGTAATCGAGGGACTTGGGATTTGGAAGCTCTTTAAATCGCACGTAATANTGAGGTTATGTTAGGTTAGTTTACGGAAGAAATGTATATTAGTGAATCAATTCCTGAATTAATTTTACTACTACAGATAACCTTAAATTAATAAGGAACCTTTTTATAACTTCCGGGTTCGATTCCCGGCAAGGAAGTGACAGCAGCAACAATTTTATCTTTGGTGGGTAAAATTAATTCATGAGTTGATTCACTAATACATATCTGATAGTTCATCATTGGCGAAAACATGCAATAATAAGAAGAAACATTTTGAACTAAAAAAGCTTACTATTGTCTTGTGAGTAGCTGGTTTTATTTCTGTGCCTTGATCTGGCGAAAACTCTTGAAATACTGCCCCATGTGCCTCCTCGGCCACTCCCCAAACGACTCGGTTGAATTTTTGGTCTTCTGCTAATACTATTTGGACGATCACTTTCTATAGCCGAATTCAATTGTTCTTCCGATCTAAGAGCAAATAAAGAAGAACTAATAATACAAAATGTTAGTTTTGGTTTCTATTAATTTACGTAGTACGGTAAATTGGCTTTTAATGGTCTAACGTTTCGCATAAATCATTTAGTGTCCAGATGATTTTAATTTCTGGGAATCGTGGAGAATAAAAGATTTTTATAGTTTTAAGATCCGTTATTATTTATAAAAATATATTTGTATTCCTATTAATCTATTATAATAGTTTTATAGTGTACAAATCATATTATTAGGTCATTTCAAAATGAATCAAGAAATATTCCAGAGGTGACAGTACTTCACATTGAATTCTATATGACGTGACTGATGCATTGGCACTTGAAATATTAAATCCAATTGTGCAGATTATCGATTTGTACCGATTAAGCCGAAGATTAATAATTAAAAAGCTAGTTGTTTTGTACGTCATGCAAAAAAAGGTATGGTAAAAAAAATCGTTGTATAATCGATCCAAATCGATAAGATACTTATGGCGATAAATAAATTGGGAGGGGGGACTTATTTTGCAAAAAAGATTGTTTTTCACTAATTAGCAAATTAAGAGATGTTTCCTCACATTTCAGACTGCGGATAACGAAATTCAGTCAGCGTATTTTTTTAATATTGCAGCGAGCACGAGTGTGTTTGTGTGCGATCGGGCACACGTGTGCATGAACGGCTTATCGATTCGCCGACTAGCAGCGGGCGCCTTTATTCATGTGCGCCGTATTTGTAAATGTGTGTGTCGTACCTGCTTTCTGGGAAAGCAGTTAAACAGTTCAAAGAAAAAATAAACTATCCGGATGTTTCCAGAAGGTTCCAGAAAGTAAACAAAAGAGTATTTAAAGGAAGAGACGATTGCCGAAAGAAGAAGAAATAAATTGACCGTTGCAGAAGTGAATACAGAAATAAATTGACAGTGAAATAAATAGCGCAGTGAATAGTGATATATCAACATTAGTGTAAATAAATAGTTTTTGCCGTTATCAGTCTTAGAAGTTAAATGTTAAAAGCGCGGTTCGATTCACGGACTTCCTGTTTTTGCTTATTACCAATCATTTGCAAGAATATGATATAAGCATTTCTAGCGTTTTACTTAGAGAATCATTACAAATTTGAAACTAAGCTTTATAATATCATGCCTTTGATCGAATCGTTGGTTCATTAAGCCATTTTATTGGTTGATAAAGCAGTAAAACTCAATTATGCATATCTGTTGATGGGATACGCCGTCACGTCATTAAGATTGAAGATTGTGATGACACAATTTGCTTATGTATGTATGTAGGTATATTTGTGCATATTGCATGCTTCCTTCCTTGATGAATATGAACGAAAACATGCATAATTCAACAAGATTTATTGCCAGTATGGAGACTGTTTGCTTACCTTTCCGCTTTTGATATTCTCCGCGCAACGTGCACCGTACTGGGGCATCCCCAAAGCAATTTCGAGCCATGCCAATACTGTTGGTGCCTTCCATCGTTCCATCGGGATTGACGATGCCTCCCTTAACAGTCTTAATTTCTCTGCATATCCTTCCTCGGTCAACGGTGACCAACTTCGGTACGGGTCATAGTTGCTGTCATCTAAACGGAGAAGAAACAACCCTTGTAACACACGATATAATATTTATTACTGACCAAAGTTAGACTTGATTCTAGGGACTTCAAGGATTAACTTGTACAGGTTACACAGAACCGAAAATTTTAATGTAGGTACTCGAAATAAAAAAAAAAGGAAACAGTGGCGTTCTAAAAAAATATTTGTTTTTCCTTGTAAGAGATTAATTATAAGATAAGTATCAACATTTCTATAATCTAAAACTGCACTAATTTATTGCTTCTTGTCAATTATTTTAAGACATTAAAATGTAAATTATTGAAACACATACGTAATAAGATATTTTGAATTGTTGTAACGTTAATTTAATGTATATTAGTGAATCAATTCCTGAATTAATTTTACCCACTACAGATAACCTCAAATTAATGAGGAACCTCCTTATAATTTCCGGGTTCGATTCCCGTCAAGGGAGTGACAGCAGTAACAACTTTTCCTCATTAATTTGAGGTTAGGTAAGATTAGTTTACGTTAGGAATGTATATGAGTGAATCAATTCCTGAATTAATTTTGCCCACTATAGATAACCTCAAATTAATGAGGAACCTCCTTGTAACTTTCGGGTTCGATTCCCGTCAAAGGAGTGACAGCAGCAACAATTTTTCCTCATTAATTTGAGGTTAGGTTAGATCAGTTTACGTTAGGAATGTATGTTAGTGAATAAATTTCTGAATTAATTTTACCCACCACAGATAACCTTTAAGTAATGAGGAACCTCCTTGTAACTTTCGGGTTCGATTCCCGTCAAAGGAGTGACAGCAGCAACAATTTTTCCTCATTAATTTGAGGCTAGGTTAGATCAGTTTACGTTAGGAATGTATGTTAGTGAATCAATTCCTGAATTAATTTTACCCACCACAGATAACCTAAAATTAATAAGGAACCTTTTTGTAACTTCCGGGTTCGATTCCCGGCAAGGGGGTGACAGCAGCAACAACTTTTCATTATTAATTTGAGGTTATGTTAGGTTAGTTTACGTTAGAAATGTATATTAGTGAATCAATTCTTGAATTTATTTTACTCACTACAGATAACCTCAAATTAATAAGGAACCTTTTTGTAACTTCTGAGTTCAATTCCCGTCAAGGGAGTGACAGCAGCAACAACTTTTCTTCATTATTTGAGGTTATGTTAGGTTAGTTTACGTTAGAAATGTATATTAGTGAATCAATTCCTGAATTAATTTTACTACTACAGATAACCTTAAATTAATAAGGAACCTTTTTATAACTTCCGGGTTCGATTCCCGGCAAGGAAGTGACAGCAGCAACAATTTTATCTTTGGTGGGTAAAATTAATTCATGAGTTGATTCACTAATACATATCTGATAGTTCATCATTGGCGAAAACATGCAATAATAAGAAGAAACATTTTGAACTAAAAAAGCTTACTATTGTCTTGTGAGTAGCTGGTTTTATTTCTGTGCCTTGATCTGGCGAAAACTCTTGAAATACTGCCCCATGTGCCTCCTCGGCCACTCCCCAAACGACTCGGTTGAATTTTTGGTCTTCTGCTAATACTATTTGGACGATCACTTTCTATAGCCGAATTCAATTGTTCTTCCGATCTAAGAGCAAATAAAGAAGAACTAATAATACAAAATGTTAGTTTTGGTTTCTATTAATTTACGTAGTACGGTAAATTGGCTTTTAATGGTCTAACGTTTCGCATAAATCATTTAGTGTCCAGATGATTTTAATTTCTGGGAATCGTGGAGAATAAAAGATTTTTATAGTTTTAAGATCCGTTATTATTTATAAAAATATATTTGTATTCCTATTAATCTATTATAATAGTTTTATAGTGTACAAATCATATTATTAGGTCATTTCAAAATGAATCAAGAAATATTCCAGAGGTGACAGTACTTCACATTGAATTCTATATGACGTGACTGATGCATTGGCACTTGAAATATTAAATCCAATTGTGCAGTATTTGCACTTTAGAGAGGAACTAATCTAACAATCTAAGTATATAAACTTACATTACAGGGATGTCCTTAATAATGCAATATTTCAAGTTCTTAGTTGTTATCCTGAATAATAATAAAAAAATAAGCAAAAATTAAAGGTAGTAAGTTACGCCGACCAGTGATTGGTAAGATACGTTCGGCTATTGAAATTAATTAATATGTCAAGTAAAACTAATAAAATTCTTTTCTCCATCATTTCTTGAAATAGTTTGGGATAAGTAGGGGAGACCGGAGCAAACGAGGTTCGGGGGCAAAACGGGACAAGTACTAATGTATTGTATGTAACTCGTATGCGCATATGTAGCCTCGACAGGGCTATTCGGACGAACTTAAGTCACTCTACATGTGTCAGCTGGAAGGAAACGTGTCGCTATTTCATTTTTGGCTGCACTGTGAGAAAAAATTGAATTTGTTCATATTTTTACGGTTTTATGACAAATGCTGACGTGCTATTAGGCGAGTAACTGAATATTTTTACAGTATTTTCAGCTCTAGACCGTAACAGTAGTTTCGATGTTTGATGTAAGATACTTTTCATAGCCGTCACTGTTTTAGACTAGAAGTACTTGGTTTAAGTACAAATGTGTTTATTGGGGCAAAATGGTCGGGGCCTAACGGGATACTCAATCTGGATCTTCATCATCATAAAGTTGTCAATCCTAAGACTGGTTGGACACGCACCTCCTCTTTTCTATCCTGAGCTATCTCTACCCTTCTAACTCCTATTTCTGCCTCTAATATGTTTCTGACTAGACCTTCATGCCTGAGAAGGTGTCCTACCAACCTATCTCGCCTATTTCTTATTGACTTCCATAGTCTTCTGTTCTATTCTTTCTAGTATCTGTTCAACAAGGATAGAAAAATATTAAGAAGCACAAGAAATAAAGTGGATGAGCCATTCCCACCAGTTCCTAATTTTGTTGGGTAGGCAGTTCCTCGGGACTACTCCGGAGAGCAGAGCGGAAGGTCCTCTTCAGCCACCTTTTAGGAATCATGAGAATGGATGGGTGTGGCTGTTGGAGTGAGAAAAATGAGACAGACGAAATGAAGAAAGAATGAAAGACTATCTTTGAAATAAAATTATCATTACTACTGCCCCATCATTTGCCTAAATGATCCAAGGAAATTCAAAATCGAACCGGCGTCCTCTCGAATGTTAAGCAATGGTCTAAACCTCTAGGCAATGCTGCTGGGTACTTCGCTTGTATTTACTGTATTTACTGTACTTCGCAGTATACCAAAGGATGAGTATTTTGCTATGTTGTGGCATAGGCCATGATTGGGCCTATAATATAATTCCTGTGTTGGAGTTCATGAGCACGAAAATTTTGAGCATGCTTGTGAACACTACCAGTCTGATTAAAATATATCCTTTTTTTACCCCATTTCCAGGGCAAAAAAGGAAATTTTAGTTCGCTATTGTTGTTTCTCATTATGAGAAAATTAAGTAATTTATCGTATAGAATGTTTTGAATATCTGAAGTTGATGTATAATGTTGCTATCTGAGTAAAATTTATTCTATTACACAATTTAATTCTCTTTATATGATGATTTGTTTTTTAAGTATCCCATTTTGCTCCGGTCTCCCATAAATACTTATTACAAAATGAATTTCTAAGTATTTATTGAAGGTTTTGCTTCACATTCATTTAATTTATTTTATTTATTCTCAGATCGACGTTAGATATAGATGAATAATGAAAACACTGTCCCATTTTCAATATATTGTATGGAGTCGATAATAATCAAATTCCCTAGGTTGGACGCCAAACAGTGAGATTACGGCGGGTTGGCTAACTTAGGGGCCTTAATGGTACTCTCACACTGGTTTATTAAGTTTCTCTTTCTCCACACGGTAACGGGAAGGGGATAATCTCTACTGTTCGAACACAGCATCAAGTTAGGCTAGTCACAATAGGGATGACGATTTTCCCGTTATGAATTGAAGAAAGGCTAGAAGTATCCTTGGACCTCCTGCATGGCACGTTGCTCTCATAGAGATTAGCATACAGATTCTATTCATACACCCAATGTTGAATTACAAAATACATGAGATATAGTATAAGGAAGTGTGTTTCATTCGAGTTCAATAACAAATCAACAAATAATTAAAGTAATCGAGGGACTTGGGATTTGGAAGCTCTTTAAATCGCACGTAATATTTAATTTAATTTGGTTTTAGTTTTATTTAATAATAGATTTATGACAGATTGGAGTTTATTCAACGCTCCTGCCAGCCGGAGGCGGGCTGATACGTAAGAATATTTTATTTACAGAAAGCATTAGTTTTATACATTTTCTAGTACAATAGCGGAATTTCATACACCTCTTAGAATAGGGGCTCCAGACCAAAATCGCTCCCAGAATTTTTTTTATCCATTTCTGGTCGCTTCTGAGGTTTCAGTGATTATATTTGAGGAGGAAGAGACACATTTTTTTTATTACAGCGAACATCATAGGGTACATGGTGTATGTACAACTATTTCTTCTTTTAATATTAATAAAAGAATTGTATACAGCGATAATCGTGAAATAAGGAAATTAAAAGCTTGTATAACTTTTAAAGGTTGTTAAAGGTGTATGTTTGGAGCACGGCGTTGTACGGGTGCGTAACATGGACAGTGGGAGCGGCGGAAAAGAAAAGGTTAGAGGCGTTCGAAATGTGGTGTTATAGGCGGATAATGAGGGTATCGTGGGTAGAAAAGGTTAGAAATGAGGAGGTATTGGAAAGAATAGGAGAACAGAGGACTCTGTGGAAGACAATAAAAAATAGGCGAGATAGGTTGGTAGGACACCTTCTGAGGCATGAAGGTCTAGTCAGAGACATATTAGAGGCAGAAACAGGAGTTAGGAGGGGTAGAGGTAGACCTAGATTAGATTACTGTTCGCAAATAGTTAAGGATGTGGGTTGTTCTAGTTTTAGGGAAATGCGAAGTTTAGCTCAGAATAGGAAAGAGTGGAGGTACGTGTCCAACCAGTCTTAGGACTGATGACCTTAAGATGATGATGATGATGATAAATTTTAACACCCCCACCCCTTCCGCCCCTAATCTCCTCACCTCATCTCTTCCCGTACCTACAGTTTAGAAATGTGATTTGAATTTTGCAAAATTATCATTCAAAAAATTTTTTCTTAATTTATAAAGTCATAAAAAGCTGTCTCCCCCACCTTCTAATATCTAAATCTATTATATAGAATGACCGGAAATCGATAAACGATTTTGGTCTGGAGCCCCAATTATCGATAATTACCACATCAGTTTTTGACTATCCATATCCATATGTTTGTTTAAAGGTTTTTAAGAAATATTAAGAACTGCCACTGCTACGAATATCAAATGCCTCAGACCGCCTCACCCCTTGTCATAGCTCGTCACACTAAGCCAGTGATTCCCAACCGGTGGTTCGCGAACCCCTGGGGGTTCGCAGTGTTTGCGGAGGGGGTTCGCGAAAGTAATATTGTAATGGCGGATTTTTTAAAACGCCAATAAAATGCCTGTTTGTTAAGAAAACTATAATAAATTTCAATATTTTCATTTCTTTTTTACTTATTTGTTTTTCAAAATTACTTCATCAATATCAAAATATATCAACAATTTTATACATTAAAATTTATTCCTCTTATTCAAGTAATCAAATACTATTTATTCTCTTTTTATTACAAACATTTATTTATATTTAAAACATTTTATCAATGTGATTCGTATCATGTTCTGCTTTATATTTAAAATCATTGCAGCAGTTTTCCCTTCTGTGTAATATTTTTTTTTACAATACAATTGGAAATAAATATCAAATTAAGGCAGTTTACTACATTTACATCATTTTAGTCTTATTAATGTTTTATTTAAATATTTCACGATTAATATAATCAATTATTATGCAATATGAAAAAGTATGTATTCTATCAAATTTTATTGCTTTTTTTACCTGTCATTAACGACTACATAGGGGGTTCGTCAAATTTTTTCGGACTTTTCTTTTGGTTCGCGAGGAAAAAAAGGTTGGGAAACACTGCCCTAAGCAATATCCTTCTCTCCTCCTAATTTGCGTAGTGGTATTTCCTTAAACTGATTCAGACATCACGAGCCGCACCCCATTTCACTTGGCCATCTGAAGAAGCCTTTTTAGACCAATTCATTTCGGGTTACGTTTTCGCATCTATCTCTAGTAGGGTTGCCACCTTTTCAGGCTTTACATAAAGTATTTCTCGACTAAATGGTTAAAAAAAAAGTACTCAACATATAAATAAAGTATTTTATTTTTTGTTTTTAAAAACATATTTTTTGTTACACCTAGCAGCCAGTAACAAATTGCTGTCGCACTTAAATACATTAATAGTCTCTAAACATGGCAAACAAAGCTTTAAGTAAACTAAAAGTTCATTTTTAATTGGTTTTAATGAAGCTTTATTCCTGTCATCCCGCCACTTTGTGTTCGTAACAGAGAATACTCTTTCTGTAAATGTTGAAGAGGCCTGAACGGTCAGCAAAACTGACACTACATTGAACAGATTTGGGAAATCAGGTTGTTCCGTAAAAATATTGTATTGTGCAATATTATTGATGTAAAAATACTCTGAATTTCCAAT